TTATAGACGACTTGGTCAATTTCAAGTATACCCCTTTCATTCCTCAAGGTACCGTATTGAAGAGATACCAAAACTGGTGGCTGACTAACATGGAGACCTACTTGGCCATTTCACCTCTAAACCTACTAGCGGTGTTAGATGTGACCAAGCCCAAAGGAGCTGGAATTGTCACTTCTTCCACTGTTTCAGTTGTAGCACATGCTACAACACAATCTGCTCCTACTACTTCAATTTCTCCTAGAGTTACTCGGGCTACCTCGAAGAAAGGCATATACCCTTGTCCCTTCTCCTTTTGTCTTTTTTATAATGCATTTTACCTTATCTTTAATTCTTCTTTTGTGGAGGTGGCCAATCACAAAAGAAAAGGAGGCTCTTTGAGCTTGAGAAGGAAACATCCGATATTCAAGGAGAAGAAAAAGAAGAAGCAGATCAAGAGGAAGAGTTACCCTTGAAAAGAAAGAAGAGAGCTATCATCTCTTCATCTGACTTGGTTAGGGATGAGACAACTGCCAGAGAGATGGAAGATGAACTCATTTCTTCGGAATCGAGCCCTCAGCTTGAAGAAGTTGAGAAGGAAATTGAGGAGTAGACCCTGCCAATACAGAGAAAAAGGAAAAGAAAGGTAACTGTCTCTCCTTCTGATATGGTCGAAGACTCTGATTCCGAGACAATTGCCAAAGCAATGGAAAAGAGAAAAAAGATTTCTGCTTCCGCTCCTATCTTGGTTGAAGATACCATCCATGAAGCAGCCGTCAAGGCAGTAGAACAAGAACATTCTAAAGCCATGATTGTCTTCAAGAGAGCTAAGAAGAGACGGCAGCAACAATTTCTGAGAGATGAAGCTGCCGCTGCTGACATACTACAAAGGGAAACTACAAGAAGGCAACAAACTGCCAGACATTACACCCTTCGTAGTTCTCCCATCATCGTCGACACCTCTGGGGCAGGTAATTCTTTATACTTCTGCGATTTTTCCTCTGTCAGCCTTTGGTATTGAAGTTTAACATTGCTTTACATTTCTTCCTCTTGCAGCAGCAACTTCTGAGTTCATCTTTCCAATGAGACCTCTCTCAGTTTCACTCGAGGTTGATCAGATGCAGGATGTAAGGGCTATTCAGACCATACTTCCACTTCCAAGGTCTATACTTCCTGCATTTTTCTTGAGGCCAAGCCATTCCTGCACTTCTTTCTCTTGGTTTGACTCCACGTCTTTCCCACTTGACCCTTAACTTTCCTCAATTTACTTCTGTGTCGAGTCTTGCTCCTCTTTCTCCTTCCAAAGAGATTCCAACTGCTACCTTATCTCTGATGGCAATTGATTCCCCTATTGAGGGTGCTGGAAGCTCTCCAACTAGTGACTTATCACCTTTACCTAGCTCCAGCCCTCCTTCACTTGATTCATTGGTGGCTAGGACCATGGAGACCGTTAAAGATGCTCCACCCATTTCTCCTATCCTTATGCAGTCTTCTGTGTCTCCCATGGCAACTCTCTCTGCGCCCCTCATGTCTAATGATGAGATTGATGTCTTCGAAGCAAGATTAGCTAGTCTCTTTGACATCTCCTCTACCTCCCCGACATTCGATGAGGAAGCTGAGCCATTAGTTTTGGCTGATTCTTTGCTGGAAATTTTTTAGAGCTTTCCTTCCTCCAAAAGCCAACCTTCTGTACCTTTGATAGACTCAGATACCTGCCTGGACCTGTTAATTTGCTTTTCGAAGATTCCCTTCGAGGCTCTACAAAGGCCTATAATTAAAAATGGGTTTCTTCAATGCTGCAAATTTGCTGAGCAGTCTGGTATGGATGTCTCAAATCACCTATCCCAGGCAGCAGCTACTATCGATTTCTACATCAGCATCTGTCATGCTGCCGAGGCTGCGAATGAGAAATTGGTTAGAGACCGAAGTTTTGTTTCTCAAGTGCATGCTGAAGTATCGAAGCTTAAGGAACAACACTCCTCTGCCTCTCACTTTCGAACTCAACTACTGGAGAGGAAAGCTCAACTCGAAGAGGAGCTTTCTGCAGCGAATCAAGCCTTACTCCAAACTAACATCAAACTGCAAATCACCAATCAAGGGCTGGCTGATCAAAAGAGAGACATGGCTGCAGCTATTCAACTATTTTCGTCATTTACCAATAGGAAATCTGTTGTACAAAAACAACTAAAACATTGTAATGATTTTTGGGCCAATTTGTGGCACGATGTACTTGACTCTTTATAAAAAAACATTTTCTTGTTTATCATCTTCTGTTCTTGTACTTAGTGTTTATTTTATTCCTTGTGTTTCCCAAATAGTTGGAAAATAAGGCTTTAAATATCTGCCATTAATCTTTTTGGGATGCACATAACCATTCAAATTTTTCAAATGGTATGCTCCAAAAGGCAAAACTCTATGAATTTGATATGGTCCTTCCCAGTTAGGTGATCATTTGCCAAATCTATGGCTTTTAATTCCTATTGGAAGTATTGTCTTCCACACCAAATCACCTTCATCAAAGCCAACGTGTTTGACTTTCTTATTATAATTTTTGGCTGCTTTCTTCTTCTGAAAGAGAATGCTATTTAATGCCAGAATCCTAGCTTCATCTATGTCCTCTAACTCCAAGCACACACTACTAGAATTAGGACTTTTTGCGTCTATTTTTTTGCGACTGATTATTTGACGATCGCAAAAAATCATTTTTAAAATCAAACATCTCATTTTCTTGACCCATGTTCTTACAAAAATAAAAATAAATAAAAATGGGTAAAACTTGACTCTCTTTCTCTTATTTGCCAAATCTGGGCTCTCTCTCTCTCCCTCTCCCTCTCAAAATCTGTCTCTCGCTCGACTCTCGCTTGAATCTCACTGCCTCTCTCGCTCGAATCTCTCTCTCGAATCTGTCGATCGATTCAACCTTCTCAAGTCCACTACTGTTGAAGATTTCATAATCGGTAAGTCTAAACACATCTTCATCGATTCAATTTTCTGTGTAATGATCCGAGAAATCAAGTGTGCTCTGAATTGCTCTCTCTCTCTCTCTTGTCTCAGTTTCTTTGTGAGATCAGAGAAATCTCTTCGAAGTATTCACTTCTTGTTCATCTTCACGCCTTTTTCGTTAACTTGTTGCTTATCCACTAATCTCACTGCAATCTTCTCGATCGATCAGGTTGTTGTACAGAAAGTGAAGGAATCGAAGATAACCGAGCAGGACTCGCTTCTACTGGTATAGTTCAGTTTTTTATTTTCATTTACAGATGATCATAGCAACCTATATATAAATTTCACTATCTACTTATCTTCATTTTTGTGGATCGAATTCTGGAATTATGATTTGAACTTACGGTTTTCTCAAAAAAAAAAAAAAAAAATTCAGAATTAGATCATTGCTTTGAATAAGTCATAGTATGCTGAATCTGGATTCTGTTTTGTTCAGTAATTTATCAGTGAATTTTACTGTAACTCAAATCCGAATTATGATCCAGAGAGTTTGAATCTGAAATGATTTTTTTCTACATTTAGAATTAATTTCTCTAGTGTTGCAACCTAGATTTGAATTTCATTGTCTGCTTGTATTCATTGTTTGTGGATCAAATTCTGGAATTCTAATTTGAATTTATGGTTTTCTAACATTTAGAATCAGATCATTGCCTCAAATCTATTTTTTTACATCTGATATTTAAAAAAATTCAAGACTCTGTCAGTTGATTTTTCATACTTCCCATATCACTACACTGCCACCTATACGAATTCACCTCCCAATACTGCTAATTAAAATCTTGCTGATCACACCAAACTAGCTTAAGTATTGGGCTGGTTTATTACTGAAGCCAGAGCATGCTGATGCTAATGAATCAAATAACAAAATTGAATTTGTGACCTATCTCCTGTCTAGCTCTCAACTGATGCATAGCCATTATGTTCTTTTTGTGTATAGTTTTTCAAGGTACCAAACTAGTTAGCAACATGATAGATCAACATGCTCTTGTTATGTATTAAAACAAGCTACTGATTATAATGCTCTGTCACGGATCTCTTGCGATGAATCTAAATAATAAAGTCATTTTAGAATATGTGATTGTTTTTAAAAGAATGTAGTATTTTGATGTCATTTTTTACTAGAGTTTTTTACTCAAGCCGTTGGATACAGCAATGTTACGTACCTATCAAATTTGCCTAGAAAAATACCCAGAATTTACAATCTGAAAACAAGATTCATTTGTTTCTGCCCCCACAACAACTTCAAATCTATACTGTACATGTCAAATTTGAGGCAATTTTTGGCGTTAGATTATACATGCTAATCTTGTAGTATTCTTCTGTTCGATGCCCAAGCATTAGGTTGCAGATTTTCTTTATCATGGCACTCTATAGCTTGTCTTATACAAACTCATTCCATTTTCTGTTCGTCATGCATATCATACTTTCACAGATCAAAGCAATTGAAGTTTCAGTTGATATACACTCAATTTACTTTTGCACAAAATGTTTCTCATTTACCTTCTTCTGAATGCAATTGACCAGTATGATACTACGCAAGCAGATAGGAAGTAGAACAGTCAGGCTTGGGCTCACTAACCTTCAATAGTTGTGTCTCTACTATATAAGCAATTCCTTCAATGTTATTTAGGCACTACATTACTGCTTTCATGCTTCTGATTTCTATTGTCATCATTTCCCCTAACTTTTGTTTTATGTATTTTTATTTCATGTGTCCATATACCTTGTTTTCTTGTTCTGAATTGTATACACCAGGAAAAGCTTTGTAAAGCAAACACATGGCAAAAAGCACAGGCTGCCACTGACGTCGTTTCTCTTTTATCTGAGATACGGATTGGTACTGGTAAAAATGATTGTTGGAGTGGCACAAAAACCGCAAGTATTCCTGCAGTAATGGCTGCTGCTGCTGCTGCATCAGGAGCAAACTTTAAATTGATGGAGGCCTTTAATTTGGAGGTACTCAGTACAGGTGTAGTTAGTGCAACAGCTAAGTGTAACCATGCCGGAGAAATTGCAGGCATGAGAAGGTTATACGATTGGTGGAATTCAAGCAGACACATCACAAGGCTTTGGGCTTGGTCTTAGCCTTCAAAAGTTGAAGTCCGGAGTGTTTACTCAGCAACCACAGCAGCAAAATGATTCTTTTAATGAGATTATGCTGACCAAGTTTGTGCGTCTACTTCAACAGTTTGTTAACATTGCAGAGAAAGGTGGGGAAGTGGATAAGTCATCATTTCGCGAAACTTGTTCCCAGGCTGCTGCTTTGCTTCTTTCAAACCTAGTAATCATACATCTTATCTTTGTGTCTCTATTTTCTTAGTACTGAAGAATTTAATGCAATTCCTTATTTTGTTTTCATTTACTATGGTGGGTGATCTTTACAGGCTTCTGATTCAAAATCAAATATGGAGAGCTTCTCGCAACTTTTACGTCTTCTTTGCTGGTGTCCGGCTTACATTTCCACACCTGATGCGATGGAGACTGGTATATTCATTTGGACATGTTAGTTTCTGCTGCTCCACAATTGGGATCTCTTGTTCTTGCTGAGCTTGTTGATGCTTGGTTGTGGACAATTGATACCAAACGAGGTCTCTTTGCATTAGAAGTGAGGTATTCTGGACCTGCTGCAAAATTGAGGCCTCATCTTGCTCCTGGAGAGCCAGAAATGCCGCCAGAAAAGGACCCCGTTGAACAAATACTTGCTCATAGACTATGGCTTGGATTTTTTATTGATCGTTTTGAGGTGAGAAAATGTCACATTGATTAATGTTCATCTGAATCACAGACTTGCAAAAGCAGCTATTATTTGTATGCATTCCATAGTTATATGTAGCCTATATGTTGAATTTTAGTTGGGATAATGCTTCATAATATTCTGTGCTATGAAGTTTTGCATTCTATGGTAGTCTTTTGATTTGAATCTTTCAGAAATGATATATGCTGCGTTAGCCAATGCTGCCTTGATTGACTGTTTTTAGAAGGCCATATGTTATATTTTTGTAGTTAGCATTTCATCCATGACGTAAACATTGGTGGATCTTGCAAGTGCATTAAGTATTCTATGGGCCCTGCTCATGCTTAATGAGATCAGATAAAATTTCAGTTGCTTCTTATAATTTTGTGAACTCAATAAAATACTCATGTGCCAGCTCAATTGATCAACTTCAGTAATCAGAAGCATGAAAGCAGTAATGTAGTGCCTAAAGCCAATATAAATGTTCATATGAGCTCAATAATTAAATAATTAAACATATTTAAGGTCTATACATCCTGGGAAATGGGAATATTTCAACCATTTTGATGGTAACGTAACGAAATTTTGTTCCTTGAGCTCAATGGATACTTTAGTCATATCTTGATTTTGGAAGCTGTCATGTTTGACGATGAGGGTTTAGGTCTTCAAAACACAACATTTTGTAAATCCATGGATCTTTGGATTCGCAACTATCTTTTTAGTTAAATATTAACTGTAAGATAGGAAAATAACACATGGAACAAAGTGCAAAGGCAAAGGTGTAAGCTCAGTCATTTGTGGACAAAATGTAGTCTTGGGTATGTTCATGGTGATTTGTGAAAATTCAACCATAGAAGAGCTAATTGTCCTCCTTTTTGATAAAATAAATAAATAATCAAAATATATGATAAGCATGCTTATGACATAATTTAGTTTGGTGGTAGAAGAGCAGTACGATAAAAGATAGAAAAAACTAACAGAAAAAACTGACGAGGGGAGTATACAGTGTCATGGCTAAAACCTTTGTTTTGGAAGTCTGGTAGGTAAAAAGATGTCAAACCAAATGCAAATGGAAAGGGTACTAATCACATAATTCTGTAGATTTGTAGGATCTTCTACTACATTAGCTTCTTTCTTTCTTAGCAGGAAAATTTTGGAATTAGTATAAGTTCATTTCTGTGTTTTTGTTACTTCAGTTAGTGCCTCTACATATTTAGCATCTCCAATGATGAGTTTTCCTGAATAGCTTCAATTTTATCTCTGAGATTAAGGAATGTCAAAAGACTATTATAATTTTGCACCTGCATTTTGAGTAGTTTGCCTTTGTTCTCATAATATTAACATTCTCACTCTATTGAATATTGCTCCATGTGTGGCCAATACATTATTATGCCTCATATCCAGTGTTGAGCAAAAGGAATATGAACTTCTGAATTTTGTACCAAAAATATGGTTGCTTTAACTGAGCTGAAGCAAAATCCATGTTTTTAGCAGCTTCTCTTGCTCTTAGCTCCTAGAAAAAAATATCAGATTCCAAATAAAGTTGAAATGGTTGTTGAACTTAGGAACTCTTAGTTAGGTGGATTTGGTGGGGGGAATCCTTGACTTCATAATCCCACATCAAAAGCATATGAGCAAAAGAACGGGTAGCCAAACCTACACAATGAAATGTATATCTGCAAAAATCTGTTATTAAATCTGTTTATCATTTCTTTTTGCAGAATCATTCATGATATTATTCAAAATCATTTATTGCAGGTGAGGCCATGAAATCAAGTTAGAGTAGATAATATTAAAATGATAGATATATAAATTTATTCACATCAGTCCCTCCAATTTGTTTATCATTTTTCTTTAAGATGTAACAGACATATATTCTTGCCAACTGCAGATTCTTTGCCTAATTGCTATGGAGAAGTCTATTTCTCTTACACCTGAGCATATTCGAGATGAGAAAGTGAAGGTGCATCAATTAGTTTCTTATGTCTTCTACTGATAATATGTCGGTGGTCCCTTTCTATCAATCGGCTCAAGATTGAAAAACTCTTGGATGCCTTTTCTAGTATGTGAAACATATCAAGATTTAAGTATTTCTTTTTTACTATGGAATGGAGAACAAATGCATGTAAATGAAGGAGCTTTTCCCCTCGTCATATTGCTTTCATTTCTTGCACTGGGGAGTGCAAGGTGTTATGCCAGTTCATTGATAGAGTGGAGAAACACCCGAGCAAAAAAATTGATGAGAAGATTGGCCAGTTCTGGATTGTATTTTTTTCATAAAAGAACTTTTTTCAAGTTTTTAGTTGTAATAACTTTTACATATGGCTCAAATTTTGAGACTCAAATAGATGTTCAATAAAACTATAATACTATACTGTTTGAATTCTTGTCATTGTTATTCTTAGAGTGCTTAACGCTACACTTTTATTTATTTATTTATTTATTTATTTTTATTTTTAATTTTTTGCGACGGTAACAAGATGGTCGTCAAAGATCATGTTAGTGTTTTTCTTTGTTTTTTGCGACGGCAAAATAATGGTCGCCATAAGTAGTTTAGGTGGTCGCAAATAATTTGCAACCGTTGCTTTGCCGTTGCAAAAAGTATTTGCCACCCCCATATTCGCGACCCCTATTTGCCGTCGCATGGGCCGTCGCAAAAAGTCTTTTGCGACTGTTTTTTATTATTTGCAACGGTTTATAGCGGTCGCAAAAAGTGTTTTTTTTAGTAGTGACATACTCTGATAGTACTGCTCAGGATCCAACTGGTCTTGGCATCTTACCCTCATGGATTTAGCATTGATCTCCACAGGTAATACTGCATCATGCCCATAAACTAAGGCATAAGGAGTGAGTCCTGTGCTTGACCTTGGGGAAGTTCTATAAGCCCACAATACATCTAACAATAAGTTATGCTAATCCCTAGGATTATCGTCCACAACCTTTTGTATTCCCTTTTTTAAGGACTTGTTGGATGATTCAGGTTGACCATTGGCTTGTGCATAATATGGGGTGGAATTAATAAGGCTAATTCCAAACTCAGACACAAAAGACTTTACCATTTTCCCATAAAAAACAGTCCCACTATCAACCGTTATTGTTTGTGGGATGCCAAATCTATGGATCAAATCCTTAATGAACCCAATAACCTCCATCTGATCTACAGCTTTGTAGGGCTTAGCTTCGACCCATTTGGTGAAATAATCAATAGCTACCAAAATGAAACAATGATGCTTCGAAGAGGGTGGGTGTATTTTCTCCATCATATCCATGGCCCATCCTCTGAACGGCCAAGGCTTTACTACTGCATGCAGATCAGTTATGGGCACATGCCTTATTGTACCATGCTTTTGACATGCCTGGCAGCCCTTTGCATATTCTATGCAGTCTTTAAGGATAGTTGGCCAATAATAGGAATGTCTTCGAAGCAGCCATCTCATCTTTACACCAGGCTGATGTGCACCACAGATGCCTTCATGAACCTCAGCCATAGCTGTTAATGCTTCTTTTGGCCCTAAACATTCCAACAATAGACCATCTCCCCCCCTTTTGTAGAGATCATTGTTATATATGATGTATTGCACAGATTGCAATTTAACTTTCTGCTGGCTTTTAAGGATGGGCCAGCCAAGTACTATATTATTGGATGCCTCCAATCTTGTTCCTGCAGATCATTATGATTGATTTCTAGGACCACATTCCTTTTATTTAAGGGTGGTATAGATTTTTGGTATGTTGCTTGGCTTACGTTCCGTTGGGTATCATCCTTTCTCTTGAAATTTGAAGCTTTTTGAGCCACATCATTAGCTCTATTATTCAAGAATCTCGGAACATGAGTTACATTTGCTATTTCAAATTGAGAGAGCAAATGTAATGCGACAACATAATATGGCAGCATACTTATACTTTGACACTTGAAAATTCCTTTTACTTTGTTAACGACCAATTGGGAATCTCCAAATATGTCAACTGCATGTACTTGTAATCCAATAAGAATTTCCAATCCCACTATCAAAGCTTCATATTCAGCTTGATTATTAGAACAAGCAGTTTCATCCACTCTGAAACCATGTGTGGTTTCTATTCCTTGCGGTGACTTGATCACTATACCAATTCCAATTAGGCCATTGGCTTTCGATCCATCAAACCACATTTGCCATGGCTCGACACTAGCCATACTAAGTTCCATTATCTCCTGACTTTCTGCTTGAGATAGATGGTTTGCCAAAAAATTGGCTAAAACTTGTCCTTTCACTGCCTTTTGGGGCACGTATTCTAAGTAAATTCTGACAAGGCTAATACCCATTTGCCAATTCTTCCCCTCAACATAGGTCTAGATAACATATATTTAACCAAATCCGTGGTTGCAATTACCAAGACAGTTGTAGGCAAAAGGCAATATCTTAATTTCATTACAGCAAAATACAGCGCAAGGCAAAGCTTTTCTACAGCTGAATATTTACATTCATAAGAATTTAAAAACCTACTAAGGTAATAAATAGCTTGCTCCCTGCCTTCCTCATTGTCTTGGGCTAAGAAAGCTCCCAATGAATCTTCTGCTGCAACTATGTACAACTTCAAAGGCTTAACGCCATTTGGTGGCATCAGTACTGGAGGGTTGGCCAAGTAGGCTTTGATTCTGTTGAAAGCACTTTGATGCTCCGTTGTCCACACAAATTCCTCTTCATCTTTCAGCCTTAATAAGGAAGAAAAAACTTTAGTTTTCCCTGCAGTGTTAGAAATGAATCTTCGAAGAAAATTAACCTGTCCAAGGAACTTTTGTAATTCTTTCTTACTTGATGGAGGTCTGGCTTCAATGATGGCTTTGGATTTATTCTGGTCGATCTGTATTCCTTTCTTGTGTACTACATAGCCCAAGAAGTTTCCAGATGATACGCCAAAAACACACTTAAGAGGATTAAGCTTCAATTTGAACTTTCTCATTCTTTCAAAGGCTGCCTCTAGGTGAAACGGATGTTCCTCCATGGATTGGGATTTAACCACAATGTCATCAATATAACACTCTAAATACCCACCAATAAGGTCATGAAATATAGTGTTCATAGCCCTCTGATATGTGGCCCCGGCATTCTTTAGGCTAAACGGCATTTTAACCCATTCAAAGGTCCTGATATTCCCAGGGCACCTAAATGTTGTCTTGTGAACATCCTCCTCCGCAATGCAGATTTGGTTATAACCAGAGTGCCCATCCATCATTGATAAAATCTGATGTCCTATTGAGCTATCCACCAGCAAATCTACTATAAGCATAGGATATTCATCTTTTGGAGTCGCCAGATTTAGGTTTCTAAAATCGATACATACCCTCATTTTGCCATTCTTCTTAATTACACGTACAATATTAGATAGCCACTCAACATACCTGGCTGTCCTGATAAAGCCTGCCTTGAGTAGTCTAAGAATTTCTTCCTTAACTTTCCGGATCACGTCTGAACCCATTCTTCTTGGTTTTTGTTTGTATGGCTTGAAGTTAGGCTTCATGGGAAGCCTATGTTCCACTAATGACCTATCCAATCCTGGTAGTTCATTGTATGACCATGCAAAACAATCTTTATATCTTCTCAAAATAACCAACAACTGGTCCCTATCAAGAGAATTCAACCAAGCACTTATGTAAATAGGTTGTTGTACAGAATCTTCCGCTAAATTTATTTCTTCTAAGGGGTCTTGTATCTGAGTACTTACTGGAACTCCTTCTTTGATCCCTTCTGACTTCGAAGCAGTCTCCTTGCTGTGTTTTGTTTCCAGGCTCTTTGATTCCTCCTCTTTATTCTCCTCTTCATAGACAAAGTCTGTCCACAAGGCTTCTTCTTTCTGTATTTCTTGGACTTTCGTTTCTATGTCCAATGCACAGTATTTATCAAGGGTCAAAACTCTGGCTTGTTGCTGCTCCCGCTTGTAGCCAATTGTCATGACTTCTTTCTCTTTCTCCCGTACTTTCCGAATTATTGACTTTATATCCAATATTGAAAACTCAATTAAAGCCAAAGACCTGGCTTCTGGTGCTTCATCTTGCTGCCTATAACCAGGCATAATTATCATCTTTAACAACCAGCTCTTCATCAGCACTCTCCTGGACTAAGTACTTCAGGTGTGCTACTTCCTCATCAGCTGGTACTTTGGCTGAGCCATCAGATTTCATCAGTATACTGAGCGGTGCCACGCCATCAATATACAGCTTGGCTTCTGCGAAATCTGCACAGGCTATGAAAGGTTGAGGATCTACATTAATTTCCTCCGTCTCCCCATTGCCTAGAGCTATTATCATTTTCTGATCCAAAGAGGAAGGCACACATTTATTAGTGTGGATCCAATCTCTACCAAGTAAAGCATTGTACTTCGCATTGCTGTCGATGACGAAAAACGCCGTCATGCAGTCCTTGGTTCCCACACTCAGGTTGATGGGTAGAATTCCCTGGGCCATCTGTTTGTCTCCAGCAAAACCAGCAATGGTTGTACTGGTTCGGATCAACCTGGGATTCTTTTTCCCTAATTTCTTCAATGAGGATTTCGGTAGTAAGTTCACCGCTGCCCCATTATCCACTAAGACTCGGTTTAACTGTATCCCATCGAAGAAGGCCTTAATGTACAAAGGCTTAACATGCTGCGTCATAGAATTCGAGGGATACTCAAATGGATATGAGAGGTTAATACTTACCACTTCTTCACTCTCATACTCAGCTTCCATTGGGGTAACCATTCCGAAATTATCTTGTACCATACTCACTTGTGAATCTTCACTAGAGATTGGAATTGGATCAACTTCTTGCCCCTCTTGATTCTCATCTCCAGCTTGGAATTCCTGCGGTAGTATGTGTACCATGTTTACTGATACTGGGGAAAACGAGCCAAACTGGATGGCTGGCTGTACCTGTTTCCCCTCTTGGCTACCTTGGTCAATTACCTCAGAAACATCCTGCATGCTGCATTCTGGTATTTCATTGTTAACAGGTTCCTTCGAATGATTTTCCTCAGCTGGTTTTCCAACCAAAAATGTTTGCTTGGCCATGAAAGCTTCGAACATTTCTTCTTCCACCATTTCTTTCTTTTGGCTCATGCCAATTTCTTCCTCTGTCTCGCTACCACTCTCCATCAAAGCTTTCTCCAACCCTGCTAGGCTATCCTTCTCTCTGACTTTTAGTTCAGAATGAACCTTGGCCAACTGTTCTCTGCTGCAACCCACCTCGTTTTGTAGAACTGGCTTTGAAGTATGGTCTGACTTTCGATTCTTCTTTTCTCCAGTCTGGATCAATGAAGAACTCTCTCCACTTTCTTTCAGGTCTTGCTGGTATTGGGTGTACCTACGCTGAATTTTCCTTCTTTGTGATCTGGAA